CCCCTGCATCGGCAGGCGGACTCTCAACCACTGCGCCACCAGGGAAGCCCTGGAATTCTAACTTCTGGTAGTAACTTTTCTCTGTTATAATGAAGTTGTCTATCAGAGTGCTCTTTCACTAACAGTATTTTTTAAAAATTGCCAAGTTTGGAGAATCTGGTATTTCAACCCGAGGGATGGGGTGCCAAGGGCAATATTTAGCATCCAGCCTCAGTGGGGTGCTGGGAGGGAGGAAGAGTTTCGTGTTTAGCTATAAATCTTGGTTTCCTTGTGGTGTCCAGCACTCCTCTGCCCCGGGATTTGTCCTGACAAACTGGAGGCAATAAAGGTTCAGAGCCTGTACTCTGGAGCCTGGCTGCCTGGGTGCAAATCCTGTGTTCAAATGACACAACTTCGGGCAGTAACTTCTCTGTGCCTTGGTTTCCTCATCAGTAAACTGGAGTAATAATAATACCCACCTCATAGGGTTTTGAGAATTACATGAGTTAATATATGTAAAGTACTTAGAACAGTGACTGATAGGATGTAAATATGAGCTATTACCCGTCATCATCACCAAAACCCTAAAGACTTTTCACATCAAGAGAAGCTTTTCACTTTTGGCCAGGAAGATAAAAATCTCCCATCTCTGCTCTAAGCACATAAAAATGATAGAAACAGCAGAAATTAATACAACGTTGTATATCAACTATACTTGAATAGCATAATTTTTTTTAAAGTATAGAAGTTAGTATAGAAACAGTAACAGATTTAAGTTCCTTTCTTGTTTTATGAACACTAACATGTCAGTAGGTTTAGAAAATAAACAAAAGTCCAGCGAACTGAGGTTTTAATACTATGATTTCCATATTTATTTTTCTCTAAAATTAAGGATGTTGCTGTGTTCTTAAATTATTCCAAGTACTCAGAATTAACAAAGGAAATGTTTCTTTTGAATTTAAGGTGATTTATTTAGAGAACAGAGGTAGCTCAGTAGAGTCTAGCACAAAAAATGAAGTGACAACACAGTACTTAGTTTTGAAAAATGTTCAGAGTATAATTAAGTAGCTTTCCATATTTAAATAACCTAGTGTATGACATCTACTTAGTAAATGTTAATTATTTTTATTTTTAATTTGGAATTTTGATCAGTAAAACAAAAATCAAATTATAAAAAAAGAAAAATATTTTTAAGGATTATTTTCATTTTTTATCTAAAACTTTTATTTTTTAACATTTTTATTTATATTTAAAATTTATATTTATAATATCTAATATTAGTATATTAGTTTATATTTATTTATATATATATTTATTTTTATTATATATATAATATATTTTAATATATTTATATATATTAGTGTATATTTAATAGTATAATATTAAATTATAAAACAAAACTAAAATATTTAAATTGAAAATAAAAAACTTGTGTTTTTTTTTAATCCAAGTTGAAAATCTCTATGCCAGGAGCAGAATGGAAACCCAGGGCAGTGAGCAGGCCAAACCAGGGGGCCTAGTCAGTTCTGGCACAGGGGTGGGCAGTGCACTCTGGGATTTCAGCTCCTGAAAGGCCTGGGATCAGACCCTCCAGGAGGACTGGAGCTGCACTCCCATGGAATCCGGGGCAGGACCGCCCTTCCCAGCTGCGTCAGAAGGGCCACAGCCCATTCTGGGTCATAGTGGGAAACCAGCTTTTCAGCCAGAAGACAAGCTGTGGAACACATAAACTCAGAATACATAAGCCCCACAATTTAGCAGAAAAACAATCCCATGTAAAAACAGGTAAAACAAATTCATGAACAATTTAAGGAAGAGAAACTGCAGATGACCAGTTGCACGTGGAAAGATACTGTCTCGGTAGCAACCGGGAAAATGGACGCAGAAGTCTTGTTTCTTACTTGTCATCGTGGCACACATTCTGGCTGTGTGTCTCAGGGCGGTGACAGGGGCTCTTTTATTTTGGGGAGAGGTGGAGGTGGCAGTGTGGTTTGAATCATGGTTTCAGCTCAGAATCGTGTAGACGCGGGTTCAGACGCTGACCCCGCCTCTGCGGGCCATCACCTCCCTCCCCCTCCAGTGGAGCGGTGGGAGGCTTCCCCAGGGATGCTTCGAGGATGACACGCAGCATGGAACATGGCAGGTGGTCAGTTTCAGCGCGAGATGTTCACGCTTTCTTACCCACGGGCAAGTGGGGAGCATGCTTGAGGAAGGGCAGCTAGTGGAGCAGAGGGGCCAGAGGGAATGCCTGGGAATGACCTCGGGAAGGAGACGAGGGATCCCCAGTGAAACAAGGTGGACTGACCAGCATATTTATCTCCGAACGGCCTCCGAAATGGCAGTAAGGGATTTAAAAGGCTGTAAACACACGAGGGCCAAGAGAACATTTGAGCATTTGACAAGAGACATCAGGAAAATGTAAGAGGAGGGAAAGCAGACTTGGATGAGAGGGGGGAGGTGGGGTAGAGGGCATGGCCTGCAGGCCAGCAGAACCCTGGGAAGGTCTTTCAGAGGCTGGGGGGACTGGTTGGAGTTCAGCAGAGAGCAGGTGCTAAGCTGCTCCCATCCTGGTGGAAGAGGCTGGTGCAGCAGCCTGGACCCAGGATGCAGGACACAGGTGGGCGTGGGAACGGGAGGCCGGGCTGACAGCAGAGAGGCAGTGAGAGCCCGCAGCCCCCTGGACCCGCTTGCTTCTCAGGCTGGAGGTTGGAGCCGCCCTCGCCAGTGCATCCTGGGAAAACCCTACAGACAGAGACAGGCATTGGTGGGTTTCGCCCTCATCCCAGGGAGATGGCCAGGACCCTACCCACCCCATCACCCCCGGTTAAGCCCACTGGTTAAGAAGCCCTTTCCCAGACACAATGAACTTCCGGTTAGTTTTTCAGAACTGGGTCTTGGATATAAAACAGGAGCCAAAAATCAGCCAAATTTTGAAAGAAAATAAAAGTCTCTGCCATGAATGTATTGGTCAGAGTCCCAGCAGGAAAAATAGGGCATACTCAGCAGGGTGGCTAATAAAGGGACCGGTGACAAAGGTGTGAGCTGAGTCTTGGGAAACCAACAAGGGATGGGGTGGTGTCCTGGGGGTGGCAGGGCTGTCACCACCCTAAGGCTTTGCTAGAAGGAGGATCGTTTGTTGACTCACTGGGGGGCCGTGAGAGAGGATACATCCCCATCTCACTCTCCCACTCCCCGGGCTCCCGGCTGCACCCTGCACTGAACGGCTGGAAGAAGAGCAGGGAGCCGGCCTCCCCAGCCACAGTCTGCACCTTACTTCCTACAGTCAGTGTTATGGTTCCGAGGTTCGTAGGTGTTGCTTAGAGCTGTAAGTCATTCATTTCTCACTGCTGTGTATTAGTCTGTTGGTGACCATACTACAATTTATTTATCCATTCTCTTATTGATGGGCATTTGGGATATCGCCAGGTCTTTGCTTTTATCAAGAAATGCTACTGTGATCATTCTTAATGCAGATTTACAAGAGTCTCTCCAGGGTATAATTGTTCATTCGTAGTTATGCCCATGTTCAACTTTACAAGGTATTTTCCAAAGTATTTGTTCCAATTCGTGCTCCACCAGCTATGTATATGGACAGATCAGGTAAATATTCTGGTTATCAACTTCCTCATCTTTTAAATGGGTATAATAATACTGGCTTTACTGGTATAGTGAGGAATCACTTTATACCATTTAGGCAAAAGGCTTTTTAAACTATTTATTTGATGATAAAAACCGTGGTCATATCCAAAAATCACATGCATAACAAAACAGGACATAAGTGGTCTAAAGAGCCTTGCAACTATGTGCAGTGTTCTTAGCGCACATTTACGGTGTGTTACATTTTGTTATACCAGATGCCCAATATGTATGCCTTGCAGAGTAATTTTTTCTTCTTGTATTGTTGACCCTGTCGTCCCTCAGAATGTATAATAAGATGTGGCATCAGACCCAAGAAGCCCTCAATTCTTTGCTTGATAAAGAATCTGAGAAGATGATGAAACCACAAAGAAATCAAGTTTTCATCTTCCAGACGTTGGCCACCTTCTACATAAAATATGTGCAGATCTTTAGAAACCTGGAGAACGTCTATGACCAGATAGTCCATCCACAGAAACGCATACTGATCCGAAAACTCCTGGATGGGGTGATGGGTCGCATCCTGGAGCTGAAGAATGAGATGGTTGAATTGGAATTAACCGAGTTTCATTACTTTGATGATATCTTACAGGATCTAAAGTTGGTTCCTGTAAGTACTCAGGGTGTTTTTCATATTGGTTTCTTCTTCTTGTAAATAAGATATATAGGCCTGTAACCAACACTCTGCAGACTTTCTAGTCGTATTTAGTAGTTGCATGTTGTATTGAAAGTCGAAGCATAGCCCTTCAATGAAACTATACTGCCGTGGACAAGGATTGGGTTTGCTCAGTTTTGGGCACAGATCTTTGCATGGTCCTGGGGTCTGCTGGACACCGCTGTTGTGGGCTTACCTGTCACCATGGTGTCTGCCCAGGTGGGTTGGAATGGAGTAGGACGAGCCTTTCCCAAATATCCTCCCAATTTCCAATAGCCATGCCCCTACTTCTGTTTCCAAAGGAAATCTCTCTCTGGCCTTTGTTTCCCATCATCTTCTCGATGAGCAGCCTGTTGGTTGCTGGTTCCTAATTCCCAGGAGGATGCATCTCCTCCTCTGCTTTGGGTCAAAGGTGACTCAGGAGATGTATGGCAATGGGCCTTTGAGCCTCTGACACCAAAGAAGGGCTCCCTCCCCTTCTCTCTGATGCCCTGAGCACTCCCTGCCGGCACCTGTAACCACAGTGCCTTCCTGTGAGCATTCTGTCCTGCAGCTGCCCTTACGGCCACTGCCTGAGGCCCGGGATCTCTTCTGGCTGGGCCTCTAGGGGCTGGTGAACACCCTGCTTCAGTGTCAGGAGTCATATGAGTTCAGTCTTCATTTTGAAAAGATCGTTTCCCTAAAATAAAATAAGGAAGAGCAAGTGTTTAGTATTCTACACGGGGTTTAATATTTCTTCCTTTTGAAAATATTCAGGCTTCTGTAAAAGGATGTCCCTCTCTGGGATAAACTTTCCTAGCATTATTACTGCATTTAATCAGAATGGACTAAAGAGAATACCTGGAATGAGTGAGGACGTTGAAGATGGTCTCAAAATGTTCACGTTTCTTGCATTCGTGTATAAGAGCATGGGTTAAAGCACTAAATTGCTTAGGTCAGGGGTACTTTACCCGCCCCCAGTGTGAAAATATCAAGAACAACTCAGGGGCTTCCCTGGTGGTGCAGTGGTTGGGAGTCCGCCTGCCGATGTAGGGGACACGGGTTCGTGCCCCGGTCCGGGAAGATCCCACATGCCGCAGAGCGGCTGGGCCCGTGAGCCATGGCCGCTGAGCCTGCGCGTCCAGAGCCTGTGCTCCGCGAAAAAAAAAAGAACAACTCAGGACAAACATGAAATAAATAGTCATTAAGTCATAATAATAAATTTAATTAATGAGGTCATATTCAATTTATTAATTTAATTCCAAGAGTATTAAGTAATACTCCTAAATTTAAGGAATGAGCAGTTTATGAAATTTAAATGGTGGGCTCCTTCAGTTTTTTCCCTGCTTTTCATCCTGCCTCAGCACCTCTGCACTGGCTGGTTCATCTTCTTGAAGGCCATGACCATTGAGAAGGATGATGACTGAGTGACATCATCCAGGCAGCCTTCCTGATAGGAGACGATGAACTACGTGTTCTGCCAGCCCTGGAGGGTGTTGATGGAGCCGTTCAATGACACTGAGCTCCAGGTGGTTAGGGGGTGCATCACGCAGCCTCAGCACGGGCTCCAGGAACAGTGCCCTTGCCAGGGAGACACACATGGACCAGCCTCTGTGTGGCCCAGTTCTGCATTTCAGGGTGAAAGCCTGACCAACCGGCATCCTCTGTGGCTGGGCCTCTGTGGCTATCACCCACAGCTCCTCTGTGTTTTGTTGGGCCGGCACGCAGATATTCGTGCAACATGACCACCCCTGACCATAGCTCATTGGCTCAGGGATGGAGACCTTGGTGGCTGCACCAGCCGGTCCTTCCTTGAAAGATTCTGAAACTGGGACAGAGAGAGACTACTTTCTGTCTCCAATTCTGAACTGTAGTCTCCCTAACTTGTAAGTAGTTGGAGCCTTTGTTCACCAGATGCTCCAAAGAAAGAAGCTTCAGAGAAAAAGAGCGATAGAAATAGAGAGAGAGGAGGACAAAGCAGGATCACCAAGAGGAGTAGAAGGAAATGGCAAGTTCCTGAAGGCATCGTCTCCCCTGAACACATCCCTGTTGCTGACAGACACCCAGCTTTGTTCCTGCCCTTGTTCCAAGAGGCCCCAAATCCTTCCATCAATGTCCCCTTTGGCTAAACTAGCCAGCAGACTGTTTCTTTAGGTCCCCATAACATAGAGAAACACGTAGAGGAGAGAGAGAGATCCTCTGTTCCAACAAACTTACTTTGATTCCACCCCATGGAGAATGGAAACCCCAAGATATCTGTGATGGGCATAAAATATATCACGGATGGGGGCTTTCCTGGTGGCGCAGTGGTTGAGAGTCCGCCTGCCGATGCAGGGGACACGGGTTCGTGCCCCGGTCTGGGAAGATCCCACGTGCCGCAGAGCGGCTGGGCCCGTGAGCCGTGGCCGCTGAGCCTGCGCATCCGGAGCCTGTGCTCCGCAGCGGGAGAGGCCACAACGGTGAGAGGCCCGCGTACCGCAAAAAAAAAAGAATATATATATATATATATATATATATATATCACGGATGGGATGCAGCAGCAAGCCTGAAGCAAGGGATACCTACATTCCCCTCTCTTGCATTCTCAAGTGCTCTGTTTCCTCACCTTCAAAATCCTAACTGTAACTTTATTGGTCCTACATGGACCAGACAGAGCCACGTCAGTAAAGTTTCATCTTAAAATTTAGAAAAGCACAACACTTGAACATGCTTATTAATAAACAAAAATCAGAACATTAGATAAAAGTGTCATCATTCTCCACTGACTGTCCACACTCACCCACTGGACCCTAGAAGCTCAGTCTTAGTTCACCCCAAACACTCCGTTAGCCTAGGAAAGTTTTGGTTTTCAAAAACTGCTGCCACTTCCTGGAAGTCCTGGGTACGCTATTCCACCAAGTCCTAAAGAGACATTCCTGTATGCTAAAATGCTTTTTCAAGGGAAGGCCTATTCAGAATTCTCTGGATTGGGGAGATGTGGAGAGTCACACCAGAATGGGAAAAGGCAGAGCTGATCCCAAGGACCAGAACTTAGCTTCTCCCCAGTCAACTGGTCTACCAGAAGGCAGCCATGAGTGTTCTCACAGAGTATCTAGGACAGTGTTTCTAGATACTAGGGCCAAAGGCCCCCCTATATTCTTGAATAACACTTCTACAATCTTGATTATTGACCTTGGAATGGTAAACATTCATTTGACCTCCACTAATTTGAAATATCTGTACACAAATGAAGAACAGAAGTTTATATTAGTGTATAAAAACAAGTTTCCTAATAAAGCAAATTAACTTTGTGAATGATTTTTGTAACAGGGTAGTTTAGGTCAAAATAAAACCAAATTATTTTTTTTAATTGTGACTGTTCACATACACATGGTCAGTGGTGCTAATGATAAATTACTAGGTTTAATTCAAAGATCTCTATAGCTCAATTCTATGCTATCCTAATTTGCATTATTATTTTAGGTAAGCTCAGATAATATGATATTTCTTTAAAGAAAATTTGTTAAGCTATCGTTGGTTAATTGAGGCCTAATCGATACGAATTACTGGAATTTTACAGTAATGATCAAAATGGGATATGGTTACGCTTTCTCCTTTTGACTTCATTTATGTCTCCTTAGCGGGAAAGAACTGTCTTCACATCACTGGCTTCATCACCTCTTTAAGTGAGGATGGGAAGTAAAGCGAGTCTCTGATGCCCTTGTCCTAACTGTATACTTTAAATGGATTTGAGTCCTGGAATCATGACCAAAATGCTCTTCCCCCTCTTCTTTCTCTTCTCTAGCAACAGTTAGATATCCCCATACCGAAGTATTTTCTGAAGGAGAGGTTGGAAGTAATAAAAGAAAGAGAGAAAATCCTTGCTCAACTATTAGCCGACAGTGGATTAGGCATAACTGAAAAGGTTTGTGTATCATTTTAACAAACATTATTCCATAATCTGTAAAACCTCCTTTTCTGCTGTTCATAATTGTGCGAGAACCAAGAAGACTGTTTTCAATGCGAGGAGCGTGGCACCCTTCCTCCCGTGTTGTTCAGTCACTAAGAAGTTGCATAACCTTTGGGTGTGTTTTTGACCAGTCATAACCATTCTTTTTTAAGATCAAAACATAGTATTTCGTTGGTTAAATCAGCATCTCTAAGACTGAGTAGATTATTGACTCAGTTTACTGGTTCATCTCAAAGTCACCCAGCCTACAGTCAGAAGCAGAATGTTGTTCATATAAAATAATTAAGTGCTGAGATAGCTAGGAGCTAAAAAATTATGACACTCTCTGCAAATGCCGATTGACCTCTTGTAACTTCAAGCTGAGTGGCACTTAGATCACCTCGAATGGACTGTCTCTGGGGAAAGCGGGGGAAACCCTTAGAGACTCCCCTGGAAAGTCAAGGGCAGAACCCAGTGGGTGCTCTGGCCCCATTCCTCCTATATCCCCAGTATGTGTGCGGCTGCACCCTTCCCGGTTTCCGCAGCTGTCTTCGCTCTGACCCTCACTGCCTTCTCGTGGATTCTGTGGTCATCTCCGTTCAGCCTTCTCGTGGGCAGCCCTTTCCACAGGGTGCTGCCAGATCAACCTGATAAACCCCTCACTGCCGGAAAAACAGTGCCTCCCGCCTCTGGCTGGTCTTCGTGGGCCAAGCATTAAGGCGGCAGGTGAGCATCCACACAGGGACAGTTCAGAGTGACAGGGGCACTCTTAGTAGCTATGCTGAGACTGTGCGTGCAGCCTGGGCGCACAGGGCAAACTGACACCTGTGGTCTTCAGGCAGGTAGGCCCCGTGGGGTACTGCCAGCCTGGGCCATGGTGTGAAGGAAGATTCCAGGTGCACCCAGGATGGCAGGGGGGAGGGAGAAGCATGTGCCCCGTCTGCCTGCCAAGGGACACACCTGAAGTACATGCACCGGATCAGCACACACACCACGCCCCAAGCTGTCCGTCCTTTTGCACAGGCAGCGTCTCGCTGCATAGAGGGTTTGGTCTCCTTGCTGTATCCCTGTCAATGTGATGCTAATGCTGCAGAGCCCAGTGTGGCACAACATCCCTGGAGAAACCTTTCTTGACCTACCTCACTCACGACTGCCCCTCCTTCCTGTGCCCCTTCTCCAAACGACCGGCCCCCCTTCTACATTCTACGTTCCTTGAAGTGGATTCCTGGGAATCTGGCCTGGGGGTTGTCCAGCCGTTCCTTCACCACAGGCTCCTGGGTCTGTGCCGTCTGTCACCGCATCATCACCAGAACGGAGCCCTCCCTCCCCAGGAATCCACCCCAAAGAGGCCCTGGCCCAAAGCGTTGACAAGCAGTGCAGAATCCGCGGAAGATCTTCTAGGGAAGACAGAGAAGGGAGGTTACACGGCACACGCTGCAGTCAAACCCAAAGATGTCCTCTCTGCTGTTTCTCCTCCCCACTGTCCCTCTCGGTTTGTGCGGGGTCAGCAGCAGGAAGGTTTCCCTCCTCCCTCACTCCACACCCAGCCCTGGTGGCTCCTTTCTCCTTGTTAGGTGGAGCCGTTCATCTCTGCTCCAGGCCCTGTTTCAGGGGTGCCTAATGCCCCGCAGAACACTGGGCTTCTGAGCAACACCCAGGCATCTGTGTGACTGTCCCATGCCCTTCAGTGTCTCACTGGACCCCCGCTCTCACCTTAAGCTGCTTATTTCTTGCAGATATATGCAATGTATACCCCAAGAAGAATTTTGACAAAGGAAAATTACTGCCCACTCCTATAGTGGTTATGCAGAATATTTCACTGATGTTCAAAAAATCCTTGTTGGACTGAGTAGATGACACAAAATCCCTCACAAGTATCCCGTAAAAGCTGAAATTATTTTTAGAATGACAGTATGGAATCTAAAGGAAATAGACAATAATAACTATTGTTTGCCGGGCACCTGCTCTGGGCTTAAGGGTTTTTACATACATCAGCTGCTTTAATGCCAGCATAATATTCATTTTACCCTCACGTGCACAACGCATTATTGAAAAGGAGTGCTCACTGCAAATTCAAAGCAGCGAGATTCCCTCTGAAAACCAAACCCTGAGCAATTGTTGTGTGAAAGAGCTTCCTCCTGTAAGCCTCTAGGTGTGGCCATGCTGAGGGGCAGTGGGTGCTTTCGTGGAAAGAGGGTGGTCCATCTCGGTTCCAGTGGGCTCCACCCCTGACTAACCGTGGGAACTTGTGTAAATTATTTTACTTTTTCCACTCCCCGTCTTCTTAAGTGGCCACAGTAATACCTGTCTTGGCAGTTGCTCTGTGAACTGGATGAGAACGCATGTGAAAAGCATCTGGCATCTGTAGGTCCTCAGTAAATGTCCCATTTCTCCCCTACCTGCCCCTTTCTCTGCACCGCCCCCTGTTGCACAGAGAAATGACCGGACCGTCCTGGGAAACTTTGGTCCAGGGGATGAATTGGAGCACCTCTACCTGGTCCCACAGTGTCTTGCCCTGGACCGTGATGGGGTGGCCATTGCTGTCCTCTGAGGCCTGGAAAAAGACTCAGCCCATGATTGAGTGTTTTTCGAATTCGAAAGGCCTCTCCCTTCTGCCTCTATCCATGCAGGAGGCTTGGGTGAAGCCAGGCCAGGTCCACAGCTGATCCCTCCTTCCAGGAACAACGCCTGAGCTCATGCAGGACCCAGGACGCCCCCAGCAGCCTTGCTCATGTCCCTCTCCTCAGAAGACAGCACCGCGCCTCGCTGGACCTTGCCTAAACACACCCCACTTGAGATCTCCAAAGACAATATTGCATGAGCCTGATTTTCTCAGTCTTGATAGTAACTATCACATTCAGATGTTTTAAAGTGCAAGTGTGCAGGTACTGGCACACATTTCCCATATAAAGGTTTTTTTATTAATTAATTTTTATTGGAGTCTAGCTGCTTTACAATGTTGCGTTAGCCTCTACTGCCCAGCAAAATGAATCAGCCATGCATGTACATCTATCCCCTCCCTTTTGGATTTCCCTCCCATTTAGGTCACCACAGTGCATTGAGTAGAGTTCCCTGTGCTATACAGTATGTTCTCATTAGTTATCTATTTTATATATAGTATCAATAGTGTATATATGTCAATCCCAATCTCCCAATTCCTCCCACCCCCCCTTTTCCCCCTTGGTATCCATACATTTGTTCTGTGTCTGTGTCTCTATTTCTGTTCGGCCAATTAGGTCATCTATACCATTTTTCTAGATTCCACATAATATGTGTTAATACACGATACAGTTAAATACTCCTCAAGTGATTCTAATATTAGTCACATTCACTAGATCATCCTGTAATTGATATTAAAGTCAGCATTTGACTTCGTCTATATTTCACACTTCAAATTCTCAGAGTAGATATGTTTTGAATTTGTACATTTCTACTATTAAGTTAAAGAACAGTGAGTCATGTCAAGTTTATTTCAATCCATTTTATTGGCGCTCCTCCTATAATTTACTAGAGCCTAAAACCTTGTGGAGCTAATTAGTATTTTGTTCAAAACGGTAGAGGAGCGCTTAAGGCGTCCTTAAGTATGGGCCCATGGCGTGAATGTGGGATAGTATCAAAATATACGCATTCACGGGAAAAAATGATTCATATCGAATGGCTGTCATACTCTCAGCAGTTTGGAGACTCTCAGCAGGGTGGTGTTAGAAGTTAGCACGTGATATTTCTGGAATCAGCTGACATCATGAACATGTTTAAACATTGATTTATCTCAAATGTTTTTGCAGAAATATCCTGTAAAGCCTATCCCCCTAGAAGAGGCTGTTAAACTAATCCAGGTCGCCGAGAGAGCACGGCAAGGGCGCCTAAGAGCCATGTTCATGAAGCAAATCTATCTTCAAGAATACAGAGCAAAGCAAGCCAGGTTACTGGACGAGAGAGTAGCAGACGTGGGGACTGCTGCACTGTGTATCCAGAAGGTGTGAATGGGGCGCTTTTGGACTTGGGGGCAAAGTGTCTTGACACAGCTGGAGATGCAGACCAGGGATGGGGGTGAGCTCTGAAACTCAAAATTCCCACATCCTACCTTTAGTAGGACTGGCCTAAATTCCAGAAGGACTGATTATCTTACCCTGGGGAAACTGTTAAGCAAGCTTCGTTATATTTTTTTTAAATTTTGTTATAAATAGGTATGAAACTCAGGCATTTTATTGAAATATTTTTAAAGATCACCGATAACTGTTGGAAAGAATGTTGCTATATAAGTCCTCACTGAATTTTTAAAAAGACATTTACACACAGACGTGGTAATTATAGAAGGGGAGCGGGTTAACACCTGGAAGCTTGCAGAAGCATGTGCCGTTTGCAGAAGCTCCAGTGGCCACCACTAATAACCACAACACAGGTGGTCCTTTCAGAAGGGGCCCTTGAAGTTTCCTTCCCTTTGGCAGATGACCACCCTCGAGTTATGCCCCATCTTTTTTCAAATTGTGACAGAGGTTTTGCTCATGGGAAAATGCAGAAGATGGCAACGTGACACAAGTTAGAATTAGGTTGGGGAGAAAGTAAGTCCAAGGACATAAAACAGAGCCAGAAGATCAGGAATCTTGTCCCTAATTGTGTTTGAATGGGAGTGGTGGGGATGCTGGGGAGAAACAGATAGACTATTTTCTTTCAAGTTTCTGTGGGGATATAAGGTTTTTTAATATTTATTTTATTGGAGTATAGCTGATTTACAATGTTGTGTTAATCTCTGCGGTACAGAAAAGTGATTCAGTTATACATATAGATATTCTTTTCCATTATGGTTTATCTCAGGATATTGCATATAATTTCCGAGGTTGTACAGTAGGACCTTGCTGTTTATCCATTCTATACATAATAGTTTGCATCTGCTCATCCCCAAACCATCCCCCACCCCCACCCCAAGCCTTGGCAACCAGAAATCTGTTCTCTATGGGATACAAAGTTTTAAATGAACATCTGAGTCCAAAGCTTGAGTTGTACAATTCTCGGGTGTTACTGCGTTATATGCCTCCCTGTTACAGTGGAAATTTTTCTATTAAAACTCTGAAGCGCCACCCTTAGATTTAGCCCCACACTTCTGCAATCTAGAAGTTTCTCTTGAAGAAATACAGGTAGAGGGACCTCACTAACAAAAACTATAGGCTATTTCTTTTTGCTCCCCAGCTTTATTGAGATATATTTGACATATAACGTTATGTAACTTTAAGAGTATGACATCATGATTTGATATACGTGTGTATTTCGAAATGATTGCCACAGCAAGGTTACTTAACACATCCATCACCTCACATAATTGCCATTTTTTCTTGTAGTGAGAGCTTTTGAGGTCAACTCTCTTAGCAGTTTGCAAGTCTAAAATACAGTATTGTTAACTATAGTCACCATGCTGTACATTATACCCCCAGAATTGATTCATTTTATAACTGGACGTTTGTGTCCTTTGACCACCTTCACCCATTTCCCTCACCCACCCAGCCCCTGGCAGCTACTCTCTATTCCTATACATTTGGTATGTTTAGATTCCATATGTTAGTGAGGCATAAAGTATTTGTCTTTCTCTCTGTGACTTATTTCTCTTAGCATAATGCCCACAAAATTCATACACATTGTCGCAAGTGGCAGGATTTCCTTCTTTTCGTAGCTGAATAACACTTCACTGTATGTATGCATGCATCACATTTTCCTGATACATTCGTCCATCAACAGACACTTAGGTTGTTTCCATATCTTGGCTATTGTGAATAATGCTTCAGTGAACATGAGGGTACATGTATCTTTTCAAATTAGTGTTTTCCTTTTCTTCAGATAAACACCCAAGAGTGGAATTTATGGATCATATGGTAGTTCTATTTTTAATTTTTTGAGGAACCTGCATACTGTTTTCCATAGTGGATGCACCCAGTTACATTCCCACCAACAGTACGGGAAGGTTCCCTTTTTTCTCCACATCCTCGCTGACACCTTTTATCTCTTGTCTTTTTGATAACAGCCATCCTAACAGGTGTGAGGCTGTTGCTGGGTCAGCAGTGGACCCTCCAGTTGCTCCCAGGGACAAGGGTGGGTCCTGTCTTGTCCCTGGGTGGACAGAACTGCCTCTAGTACCCCTTGTTCAATAGGGAGGCCCTGGACAAAGGTCCTCATCAGGGTCCACAGTTGGGTCCTGGGAGAGTAGACAATGGTATAGGCCACTTCTGTGATTCATACTTTCTTTAAAAATTTTGCTTGTGATCACAAAAGAAAAGAACTCCATCAACACACACGGGTGCACAACCTTGACCCCATAATCATTACATCATTTGGGATGTGCAGGTTACATGGGAGAAACAGTATGACCATGTTTTCTTTATTTTTTATGTATTAAACAAGTAACCATTTATTTATTTTTAGGTTTGGCGAGGTTTCCATCAGTGCAAGAGAACTGAAAGAGAGAGAGAAGAGGAGATGATATTCCTGGGTATGGTAAGTTTTCTTATAGACAAATAAGCATCTGGTTTTCTTAAAGACAGTAGAATCTGTAAGACTTGTGTCTTCCTTAGAGAGTTTTTGAGAGAAAAAAGGAAAGCAAAATACGTGACTGGTGACTTAAGAGAATGGAATCGCCTGTATTATCTAGAAGCCTGCCCCAGGTGATCCAGAGACAGCAGGGTCTTGTCTGTTACACGTCTGCTGGAATACACGGGCTGCTCCAAAGGTGGGACAAGCTGTGAGCTGCCCACCGATATCAGCCTTGCCCTACATTTTGTTAATATATGTTAGTATTCGTGGTCCTGAGAGTGGGTTTGCCCTGATACAGCCGCCTTCTTTTGGGTGCTCTCCATGGTGATTACTGAATCAGAGTTGAAAGGGTATATTACTTAGTTACGGCCCCAAACTTAGCAGCTGCAACAACACATGTCTGTTATCTCAGTTTCTGTGGGTCAGGAGTCTGGGCTTGGCTGAGTCTTCTGCCCGGAGGCTCACAGGCTGCAGTCAAGGTGTCACCTGAGGATGGGGTCTCATCCTGAGGCTCAGCTGGGGAAGGATCTGCTTCCACGGTTGCGTAGTTGTGGGCCGGATTCAGTTCCTGATGTGCTGCCAGACTGAACGCCTCCGTTTTTTTGCCAGTTGTTAGCTGGAGGTAGCCCCCAGCCCCTTGCCAAGTGGGCTTTCCATGTGGCAACTTGCTTCATCAGAGCTGGGGGGCAGGGAGCTGCTTACAATCCCACACAAATGATATGCATCACCTTTGTCCTATTCTGATGGTTATCAGCAAGTCATAGGGTACACCCCGTGTTTTTTAAGACAAAACTGATGAAAGTTACAGAGCAATACCCTGAATGTGAGACCAAATGCTGTTTTTTCTATTTACAGGAATATCACTGATAAGATCTTCTAATTTACTTTAAATCCTAAGACCTCAGAAAAGAAAATTTAAATAGTCACGTTTTTGGTTGATCCCAGAACTCACTCTTTGCTCTTGCATCACTTTTATTTTTTTATTTATTTATTTTTGTGGTACGCGGGCCTCTCACCATTGTGGCCTCTCCCGTTGCAGAGCACAGACTCCGAACGCGCAGGCTTAGCGGCCATGGCTCGCGGGCCCAGCCGCTCCGTGGCATGTGGGATCTTCCCAGACTGGGGCACGAACCCGTGTCCCCTAGATCAGCAGGCAGACTCTCAACCACTGTGCCGCCAGAGAAGCCCTCTTGCATCACTTTTATAATGGCCTGTTCTAAGTGACAGATGACGTGGTTTTAGAATAGCATATATTCTCCTCCGGCCCCGCATCCTGACTGCTCCACGTGCACTTCAGCCTCTGTGCATCACCTCTGTTGTCAGCACAGAATGGAAAACAGGAATTATTTTGTTTGAGGAAGGGATTCACCTCTGTGGTGCAGACACCTGGAAGAGCATCTTTCCCTGGTGAAGGGGCATACGCTCCCTGCACCTGTGTGCGGGACCTCAATTGTGACATCCAGGCTTTATTATCTTAAAAAACATGGTGACTCATATCAGAGTGGCATATGTGATTCAAGAAATACCCTGATTTCACCACCTGCATTCTTGATTTCTTTTTGATCTTTGAGTTTCAAAAATAAGTCAACATTAATTTTTGGAATTGAAAACCCCTAGGATCCCAGCCCATCTTTTATTTCTTGGTTGTTGAGGTGCCATGAGAATCAAATGGGTGAGTCCTTGTCAGTTTTTAAGGATCTTTATGATTTCAGAACTGTGCTGGGTGCAGTATTTTTCAGCCATAAAAAGAGGGAAATCTTGACACATGCTACAGCATGGATGAACTTTGAGGACATTATGCTGAGACAAGCCAGTCACAAAAAGACACATGCTGTATGATTCCATCTTTATGAGGCATCTAAAGTTGTCAAACTCATAGAGACAGGGAGTAGAAGGTTGCCAGGAGCTCGGGGAGGGGCAATGAAGAGCAGTTCAATGGGTATAAAGTTTCAGTTTGCAAAAAAAAAAAGTTCTCCAGATCTGTTGTACAACAATGTGAATATACTCAACGCAACTGAATGGTATACTTACAAATGGCTAGGATGATAAATTTTATGTTATGTGGTTTTCACCACAGTTTAAAAATTGTTTTTAGTTCACTGAACATGGAAATGTATATTGAGATGGTTCTATAGGAATCATCACTATTCACTAATGGCCAAAAATTACAAGTTAAAAATTAAATGAGGTACTGTATTTCATTGAATCTAAGATGTTATTCATTATAAGATACATCATGATTGAAAATGAAAGAAAGTGTTTGGGCAAATAAACCAAAACATATCCCTGATTGTAATATACAGCCATCCCTGTATATGTAACATTTCAGATATGTTAAACCATGAAAAATATGTATGTTAGAACTGACGATAGAAGGCAATTTGTATCTGTCTTATTGGGGGGAAAACGTTTTTTTCAAGTTATATTGGAAAAATCAATATCGTTAAAATAACCACACTACCCAAGGCAATCTATAGATTCAGTGCAATCCCTATCAAATTACCAATGGCATTTTTCACAGAACTAGAACAAAAATTTTTTGAATTTATATGGAAACACAAAAGACCTCGAAGAGCCAAAGCAATCTTGAGAAAGAAAAACGGAGCTGGAGGAATCAGACCCCCTGACTTCAGACTATACTACAAAGCTACAGTAATCAAAACAATATGGTCCTCACACAAAAGACAGACACATAGATCAATGGAACAGTATAGAAAGCCCAGAAATAAACCCATGCACCTTGGTTCAATTAATCTATGACAAAGGAGGCAAGAATATACAATGGAGAAAAGACAGTCTCTTCAATGAGTGGTGCTGGGAAAACTGGACAGCTACATGAAAAAGCATGAAATTAGAACACTCCCTAACACCATACACAAACATAAACTCAAAATGGATTAAAGACCTAAATGTAAGATCAAGTTATAATTATTGAAAAGAGTGTGATGAGGTGCTTATTCTCATACATGGTGAGTTAAATTGATTCAGCTTTTCTGAAAGAGGCAACACAATCATTAAAATATATCCTTCCGGGCTTCCCTGGTGGCAACAGTGGTTGAGAGTCCGCCTGCCGATGCAGGGGACACGGGTTCGTGCCCCGGTCCGGGAAGATCCCACATGCCGCGGAGCGGCTGCGCCTGTGAGCCATGGTCGCTGAGCCTGCGCGTCCGGAGCCTGTGCTCCGCAACGGGAGAGGCCACAGCAGTGAGAGGCCTGCATACTGCAAAAAATTAAAAATAATAAAATAAAATAAAATAAAATATATCCTTCCACCTGAGTTCTAGTTCTAGCTTAAGGAAATCATCAGAAATAAAGGTTTATGTGCATAGACATTTCCTACAGTGTTGTTTTCAGTAATGAAAAACTGGAAATACACAATCCTAGTGTTCTAGAGTAGGGATGGAGTTAAATGATTTATGGTGGACCTACCTTAAAGTAGTGATAGACCACCATTAAAAAAATATGTTTATGACTCATTTTTGAGTTGAAAATGCTCAGAGTGAAAATACGGGATTTGGAATTGTACATATAATAGGATTTCAACTAAATAGATACACACATACATGCACATACAAAGGAAAGTTTATATCGTGTTCCTTTTTTCACGTCGGAACTTTGGAAGTTTTTTGTTTTAATTGTATTTTCCAAAATGTTTAAATTTTACTGCATTAACTGGAAAAAAAAAAGGCACACATTTAAAAATAAAAGCAAACAGCCATAGAATATTATCAATTTTTTCTATTCAGATCTCCAAATTGTTTGGTGTATGTACATAGGTGGACAGTTTATGATACAAAATTGTTTCTCTGTTCTACCCGTTAGAGACACAGAAATATGAGATGTAATGATAAAAACAATGGTTATCTCCAATTTTCTACTTTAAAAATTAAACTTGCGGTCAGAAGATTCAATCTAAGGTAATCTAAGTTTAACATGAAATTTTATGTAAGCAGCAGTTTGACTCAACCACTTCCATTTAATTTAATTCAGCCGACATTTACTGAATATGATGCGTAACAGGCCAGAAACTTAGGGAATGGCCAAATGCTATTTTTTTAACCTAAGTTTTAATGGCTTACATTCATACCACATAAAGATAGAGTAACATGTTTTTTACTGTAATTTTCCTGTTTTACTTTGTCATTTGTATATGTGCAGCTCAAATAAAGGAAGTCTGTTTTAATTTTTCAGCAGTACAGGGTTTGGATAGTAAAGAGGACAGCTTGTCTGTTTTGTATTAAATGCAACTTTGTCCAGTTTGCTTTTTTTCCAAGCATGTCTCCTCTTGGTATTACATGTTCTATGAAATTTTACACCATTGAGAAATATATGCATTCAGTTTTTAAAAGAATGGTATCTTCTGTTTGCTGGCTGATAACCATAAAAATCCATTACCCCAAATCCTGGGAATGTTTTCAGTTAAATACATTTTCCACTATCTCACTAATTAAGATAGTGTCTACTCATTTTAAAATTTCATTTTTCCATTATTTTACTTTGTTACATCATATCAGTATATAAACCATTGACTTCTCTGATCAAAACAGTATTTGTATCTTTGTGGGAAGCTTGGCCTATTTCCAGGGGTATTTAGTAACTGAAATGAGAATTAGAGCAAACGACATAATTATGTCCTCAGTTCCTGACTAAATGTTGCCTTTACCATTGTCATATAAATTATTTTTTGATATTGCCATTTTAAATATTTATATTCTAAAATCTACAGAGGAAAATAAATAGCACTCTAAAAATTCATGTGCAGTTATTTTAATTGGCAGAGCCAATGGAGTGGATGAAGGAGGACACTTAATGAATGTAATACATTTCATTCTGTGGGTCCCTTTGAAATAATGTGTCCTACAGCCACGGCCATGGTGTATTTTATGTTACCCTGAAGCTATCAATGTTTACATTATAATAAAGAACACTAGGGGACACTTATTAAACACGAGAACTGTCACTTT